TTCATTTGGCCAACGGGATGGGTATTTAAAATGGGTCTGTCCTGGCAAAAATGGGATGCATGGCCAGCCTAGGGTTCAGCAAGACCTCAAGCAAGACAGATGAACAATGCTGAGCAATCAAGGGAAAGCTGTACTGCCTGGGATGATGTCAGCTTTGACTCAACTGCCAAGGACTTGAATTAATAACAAACAGTTCCCTATTCTATTATACCCCAGAGCATGCCAGGCCCTGCATAGAGATCACCCCTGCTCTGGCAACCTGTCCTCTAAATTTTAGGCCTAAGAAATAGCAGGATGGGATGAGGCCAATGATGATTACTGTGACAGAAATACAGTCGCAGGAATGCACTGCTCCAGCATTCTCAAGTTGCTTGTTCTGTGTTTTAGTTCATTTAAATAAAGCAAGCAGCACTGTGTGCTCCAGAGGTCGGAGATGTGCTTCCCAAAGCTTCACAAACCTGCTGCAAAGCACCCAGGATAAGCTTCTCCCACTTTGTAGACACAGGAACTGAGGCTCAGAACATGACCAATGAGAGGCTAAATGTTAGCAGCAGAACCAGTGCTTGAACCCAGACAAACACCTGTTGTTACTGTGGGATAAAGTATGTAAAGTGCTGCTTTCTTCCTCTTTGTGCTTTCTCCTTTGACATACAGGCTTATGGCTAGATCTGTAAAGGGACTTGGGTGCCTTGCTCCACTCTAGGCACCCAACTGCAAAAATCTAGATCTGCACAAATGACCTCTCAACTTCCCTCTCCAAAATCCATAGATGCTGCTTCTGGGCATACTTAGAAATGGCTCGGCCTTAATTCTAGGCTATAAAGGGCTTTAAAAACCAGATATTCCTCTGTGTACCTCACCCACAGGGCCCAATCCAGGAGAGGTTTTCAGAACACTACTAATGGCAGGAGTTCCCACAAAACAGCCAGGGCTGATGCTACTCCACTCTTTCTCCAACAGCTCAGCAGTAAAGTCACGCACCCAGGATGTGCAAGTCTAGAGGCAGGGAGGAGTACAAGTGTCCTTCCCTACATTTCATCTCCTGCTTTGGCCATCTCTTGAAACAAAGGACTAGCCCTCAGTGAAAGCACAGGCTTCAGCACCTGTCTGCAGGAGAGAGTGCAAGGCTGGGAACACCAAGGGGAAGGAAACATCTCCTTGAACCCAGGTGAAGCAATAAGGTCATTGAACAGCAGGCTTTATTTAGGATGAGCCCCTGTGCCTTAGGTTGTTTTCTGGGCAGCTCTGGCAGCCCCAACTGGGCAAGCCAGCTTTTAAAAAAAATCTTGTTTTAAAGCATTTATCTACCCTCATATATTGTATAGGGAGCCTTATGTGAATTCCACTGTGTCACTAGGCACCCAAGGCACTGCAGTGCTAACTCGAGGTCTTTAAGGAACCCCAAGTGGAGAAGAATCACCGTCATTCTCAAGTCCTGATGACACAGGCTGCTCAAATACAGATTTCTGAGAATATCTGTTATTGTTGCTGGAGCACCCCAGTTTGCTTGCTAAATGCCACTTAAATACCCTGCAGTAAAAACTAAGGCAACTTGGTCAGGACTCTTGCCCACTACAGATCTGTAAATATAAGATCTCTTACAGCAGGGGTGGAAGGGAGGGTTTGGAATGACATCTCCAAAAACTCAACCCCACTATAATGAAGCAATATAACTAGAATCTTTAGAGATAACCCCAGTGTGCATGTGTACCTGCATTGAAATGTTTAGTGCAATTTGGGAAGATTTTCTAAAATATTTTGACAACTAAATTCTAAACTAGTTTTAATGGATTATCACTCCTTGCACTTTTCTTCATAGAATCATAGAAGTCGGGTCGGAAGGGATCTTGTAGATCTTCAAGTCCGACCCCCTGCCTGGGCAGGAGGAAAACTGGGCTCAAGTGACCCCA